GCCTCTCAAATGAAACCCCTTATATGGGGGCTATAAGAAGATGTATTCCTTCATAAATAATTTGTTTGTCATGGGCTGTAGAACCGATTCATATTGATTTAGATTTTATTCCGATTGAAACAATTTCGGTGATCAATGTCGCTTAAATCATCAAAATGCCGACTATGGGAAGTTATTGTTATATGGGGGCTATCCGAAGACGTGGACCCGCATTTGAGATTTTTTCCCGCTTCTCTAATTTCTTTACAGACATGCAACGGAGTTATGGGCACACTTTTTGACAGGGAGCTGTTGTCGAAGGTATAATTTTGGAGGACTGAGAAGAAATTCTCAAAAAATTTCTTCTGGAAGCCACATAAATTTATTTGGAAAAATCTGAAAAGTCCTGACGACAAGTTTTTGCTATTAAAATTTTCCGCAGTTCTGGTCAAATACTTTATTTCTCCTAATTTGTTTAAGGGTCATTTAAAGTCCCGTCCCTTGATATCTCAAAAGTGGCCACCCTGATCTATACGAAATCCATTCATTATTTTTTCTTCGTTGGTCTCCCAAATAAATTTTGAAGAGCATTATTTTTGGTTGTGCCGCACAGACACACACACACACACATACATGCACACCCGGTCATTTAAACAATTTAAATACAATTTATTTGCTCGTTCATTATTTTTACTTGTTTTCTTTAGTTTATGGTTTGAAATTTTTAAATATTTTGTTTTATTTTTTGTGTTTCGTTTTGGGTGCGAGATTTTTCTTCTGCATCGATGCCAAGTGGTTGGGTATCTCGTCAAAGAATTAACATGAAATCAGGCTAGACGAGCAAAGTGGGTCACAGTGGGTTTTGAGGACAATTTTCCAAAAGAAAATAAACTTTTTTTTAAGGAAAATGTCTCAACATTGAAATTGGCTTTGGGAAAAATTCAAAATTTCAGGCTTTGAAATTTAGTGAGATTTTTTTTTAAAAATATTGTCAAATAAGTTAAAAAATTATAAATCAGATATATGAGCCTTTTTAGGGGTATGTACCTGAAGGAGTGCCCGATAAGTCACATATTCACACAAAATCTAACGTTACAGTAAATATAGCATTATGCGAAGTTAAATGAAACCACTAAAGAAAAGTCATAAGTTGGGCGGGACCGACTATATGATACCATACCCCACTATGCATATTTAGTAGAGTTTCCGTAACAGAAGAACTTATTTGAAGTAGATCATACCTCCTATCAACATTTGGCTTTAGAGCAGTTATCGTTTGGTTTCAGGGGGAACTAGTATAAGGGAGGTGTAGCCAATTCTGAATCGATTTTCACTAAATTTGACGGAGACATTTTTTAATCTTTTATAACATTGCTATAAAGTGTAGGATATCACTTCGAGAAGATTATATTAAACAGATATATATCGGAGCCAAGTTCCACCAAATGAAAACCTACGTCTCGAAATTCACACCATTTGGGCTGATATTAGCCATTATTTGCACAACAAAGCTTAAATCGGATAAAGGATATATATGGGAGAGTCATATCCAAATCTTAGCCGATCTCGATAAAATTTGGCAAAGGTATTTTCGAGCTTTATAAGATATCTGGTACCAAAAATCATTGTTGTCGAATGCATATTACGAATGTGAGGGACTTAGACATCAAATCGGATGAAACCAAATATATGGGAGCTATATCTGAACCGATTTTCTCCAAATTTGATGTACTTGCTTCTAGACTGAATTCAGTGGGATGTGGCAAAATTTAGGTCAATTTGGCGGATATTGGTCATTTGGTGCACAATTAATCCGAAATCGGTTGAAGATTTAATGGGTGAGATGAAAAAACTGCAACCAACGTCAGACTGCTGTCAATTCTAAGCTACTCGTCCGACAGCTGTTAGAATTATTCCAGAGAGCTCATTTTATTGTTTACAAGCGTACAAAAGCATTTTGGTGAGAATTTTCCAGAAAAAAAGTTATTCGCGATGGAATTCAAGCGTGATAGTGTGATTTCTTTGTGTTTGGCTGGACACCCACAAGTGGCTATCGTTAGAGCCCTTCAGCATTTAAATGTGAATAAATCTTTTGTGTCTCATACCATCGCTCGTTACCGTGATACTGGTACTGTTAGCGTAGCCCGACGTCAAGGAAGTGGACGGAAGATAACAGCAACATCAGCAGAAATGGTTCGAAAAGTAACGAAGCGGCTTGATCGAAACCCGCATCGCAGTGGCCGAAAAATGGCTTGGGAGCTGAACATATAGTAATATTCCATTCCGCAAATGTTGAAAAATGAGCTCGGGGTAAAACCATTGAAATTGTGCAAGAACTTACACCGCAACTGAAAGAAAATAGACTCAAAAGAGCTAAAGAGTTGCTTCAGTCGGTTGGCCGAAAGTGGTGAACTGCCAAATTTAGTTTTCTCCGTCCCCGATGAGAAAACATTCGTTGTCCAGCAGTTTGTGAACAAACAAAATGATCGTGTTTACCTGCCAAAAAGGTCAGCTGAAAATGTGCACCTTTCGGTTGGCCACCAGAACTCAAGCGCCGGCCATGGTGATGGTGTGGGCCGCCATAACAGCCGATGGACACTTTCCGCTTGTATTAATCGACCGTAGCATTAGAATAAATGCCGAATATTATCGCGAAAATATTCTGGAGGGTGTATTAAAGCCTTGGGCACGCAAACATTTTAGCCGCAGTCCTTGGACCTTCCAACAGGACGAACTCAGCACGCGCCATCCAAGAATGGCTACAAAATGAGGTTCCTCGCTTCATTTCCAGCGCACACTATGGCCACCAAAATCTCCGGATACCAATCCGTTGGACTATTGTGTCTGGAGTATTTTGGGGAAGCAAGGTTGGCACTAAAAAATACCAAAGTGTCGATCACCTCAAGAAAGCGCTTCGCCGAGAATGGGCCAAAATACCGCAGAGCAACATTTGGGCAGCGTGTGACGGTTTCATTGGCCGTTTGAAGGCCATAATTCGTGTCAAAGGTGACCAATTCAACCAAATCTAAACTTATTCTAAAATGTGATGCTATTTCCGACATTTTTTGCGTTCATTCAAAAAAATTAAAGAAAAAATGTAAAATCGATGGCGTTTGACTTTGTTGCAATTTTTTATCTCACCCTGTATATGGAAGCTATATTTTTAAATCTGATCCGATTATCACCAATTTCAATAGGGTTCGTTCTTGGCCCAAATAAATATTGTTTGGAAAATTTCTTCTCAATCGGATGATAACTGCGACTGCATTTTGTGCATGGACAGACGGACGTTCGGACAGACGGACTGACATGAATAAATCACATTTTATAAGAGTTATGATTATTCAAAATTTTGACCCTTTGTAGGGGATTTACCAGAAGGCGTGGACCAATATATCCCATCTTCAAAGCAGATCTTGTGTTAGTAGAAATAATAGTATGTGTAAAATATGAAGAGAACCGGATGCCTATTTCGAGTTTTATAATCGTTTTAGTTATTCAAAACTTTGATCCTTTTTAGGGGAGGTTCCAAAAGAAATGGTCTGATCTCTTCCACCTTTATAGCAGATGTTGAGTTGATGAAAATATTGAGATATGCCAAGTCTGAATGGAATCGGATGTTAATTTCGTGTTTTATGAGCTTCATGAATATTCAAAATTTTGACCCTTTTCCAGAATTAGTGGACCGATATATTCCATCTTCACATCAGACCTTGGTTAATAAAAATATTGTGAAGTGTGTAATTTGAAGAGAACCGGGTGGTTATTTCGTATTTTATGATCGTTTGGGCTATTCAAAATGTTGACCATTTGTGGGGGTGGTACCAGAAGGAGTGAATCGATATATTCCATCTTCACGTCAAGTCTTGTGTTAGTAAAAATAATGGCGTGTGTGAAATATAAAGAGAATCAGATGCTTATATCGGATTTTAAAATCGTTTTGGTTATGCAAAACTTTGATCCTTTGTGGGGGAGGTACCAGAAGAAATGGTCCGATCTCTAGTATCTTTATAACAGATCTTGTGTAGGTGGAAATATTGAGATGTGCAAAGTTTGAATGGAATCGGATTTGAATTTCGTGTTTTATGAGCTTCAAGGATACGCAAAATATCGACCCTTTGTGGGGGAGGTACCAGAAGGTGTCGACCAATATATTCCATCTTCACATCAGACCTTGGGTTAATAAAAATATTCTATTCTTCTTGTTTTTTTGCGGCTAACACCCGCATTTTATCTACCCAAACGAATTGGCAAATGCAGTAGCATCCCAAAAAAATACAACAACAACAACATCGATGAGATGACAACAAATGATTTCCTTAAGAGACAAAAGACAGAATGTATTGCGAGTCGGGTGATTGATGTACATTTTTTACTTCTCTCGACGTGGTGGGTGGGGAGAGGGACGTAGACAAATGACAACTACACAAAAACACACAAAATGGTCATGACACATAAAATCGAGAACCCCCCCGAAGGAGGGATGGACAAACCAAAACCCATAAACCTCACACACACAAAAAAAACCTATCCGGCTTACCTTTATGATATTCATGTTAGGCCTAACATAATTCGAACTTAATTGGAATTGTTTGGCAAGGATCAAGCAGGTTTCATGCAACATAGGCCCAAACGTACATACCAACGTTGGGCGCCACGTTTATTGCGTTGCGTTATTCGATGACTGCGAAAGCCCAGGGTTAGTAACAATTTGAAGAAGGTAATGAGGAATGTGTGTTTTCTGTTCAAATGATGACAGTTTTGGGAGAGGGAAATAAACCCAAAAAAAAAAGAGAAAATCAAAAGAGAGAAAGAAAAGGGGGAAAAGGGAGAAATTTGAGTTGTTAGTATTTTGAGGGGAAAAGAGCATTAGGGTGGCTAGTCATTAAAATTAGGAGGAAAAATTAAAAATACAACAAAGCAAATTTAATGGGAAAACAACAACAACAACAACAACACCATCTTTCGTTTTGTCATTGTTGCTGTTCGTTGCTAAATTTAGCCATTTGGCCTCTACATACTTGACAGTTGCCTTTAGTTTGTTGGCCTCCTTGGCGGCTTCCATTTGTTCGGCAGGCAATTCAATGTCTTCGCGATGTGGTTCAGCTTCATCCTCCACATGTGAAAAGGTGACAACCTTCTTCTCGGAAGGTACTGGTGAGGCTTCTTTTTTCACAGATTCAATCTTCAAATGGCTCGATTCCTTTGCCGCTTCAGACTCCGCCTCTGCTTCCTCCTCCTCTTGTTCTTCCTCGGTAACCGGTTGCAGTTGGGGTTTATTGCCCACCTCATCGGATGAGGCCGAGTCAATGGAGGAAATGGGTGCCAGGAGAGTATTTGATTTCCTCTCTGGTGTGGCACGATCCGGTAAGCCCATAACTTCCTCTTCACTGCTGCCCATGCGATCCAAGGGTATGGCATTCTTAGAGGCAGCCACTTCTTTCACAGCACTGCTGTCTTGGGTGGCCAGGGATTGTTTTAAGGCATCCACGGAGGTGGCATCCAAAATGAATTTCAGCTCCTCGGCAGCTGGCATGACAGTATCGTCAGGTTGGTCAATCTCCTCATAGACATGTTCTCTGCGCAGGCGGGGTGCCTTTTTGGGAGGTGTGGTACTCTCGCTTTCTGCCTGTTCCACTTTCTTGGCATCAACTTCTTCGCCCTCTGCCGCATCGGAACTTGGCTTAACCACATCCTTGATTTCAATAATTTCCTCTGGTTCCACAATGCTACTACTTGGTCCCTGTTCTCCCTCTGCCTCACCTTGTCTACCCAAACGCTTGCGACTGGGCGACTCATCGAGCTCCTCGATTTCCAAAATATCATCGGAATCTTGTTTTTCAAAATGCGCAATATCACTTCGTTGGGCCTTGGGGGAGTTCTTTAAATTTATGATCTTTGGCTCCTCCCCGGGGGCTGGAGCCACCTTATCATCCTTGCCCAAGTGCAGACGTTTAATATTCAAACGCTTCTTTTGGCGATCGGCCATGCTCTTCAGCTTCTTCATTATGGGGAAACAACGAGGACCCTTGGGATGCTCGTAAATGGGATGGACTTCTTGAGGCGAAGTAGCGGCTTCCACTTGACTTGTTGTCTCCGACGCAGGTACCTGTTCCAAGCTACGTTGTAAACTTGCCGCCGATGTAAACGAATCGGGCAGTGATTGAGCGTCTTCGTTGCTACGATTACCGTAACGACGACGTCGGAACAGGCGACGCACCTTACTAAAACGATTGGCGGCCTTGGCCTTGGCTGTTGCCAACACCGAATCCGATACACAGGAGAAACTTTCACTGTGCAAACTATGATTTTCGTGATCACCGTCCCGCGGCAAATGATGTTCCGAATGATGACCTTCGTCTTCTTCCTCTTCTTCGGACAGTTCTTGTAGATATGGATGAGTTTCTTGTATCAACACCTGGTCGTCGATGCGTACCTTTTTGTTGGATTTTGGCGATTCTGAGAGGAAACGTATTTCCTGGGATTTTCTTAGCATCAACACTATTTCGGGTTCTTCATCTGGACCCAGCGGACGATTGTACAAGTGCGTCCATGGATAGCCACCCTGGAAGGGAGAGAGGAAATGGTCAGTTAATGAAGTTTTCGAATTTGAAATTTTTCAAATATTTCTGAGGTCTTTATATTTGATCTGAGATCTTTATATGTGAGGTAATAGATTTTCCTGAAGAAGTTTTTTTTTCGGATTTATTCTTAAGGGAAATAAATGTTTAACGGTTCTAAGGGAGTAAATTTATTTAATTAGGAGTATGGTAAACTTATTCAGATACAAAAATCGACTTATAGAGTTTGAAGAGGCTACGAAAAATGGGGAAATGGAATTGAACTAAGTATTTTGTCTCACAAAAGTGATGAGTTTTTTATTGTACATATTGGGTATACTAAATCCGCTTCTTCGGAGACTCATAATGAAATTTGATCTAGAATACTTCTTCCTTTAACATTTTACCCAAATAATAAAGCATTAAGAGAGATTTGGACTTGGAATGGAATCGTAGTAATTTAGAGGTTTTTATACATGATCGTAGACTCTGAGGTGATATATTTTCCTTAAGAACGATATTCCAAATTTTATGCTGATTTTTTTAAATTCGAATTATGGTAAACGTATTCAGATGCAGAAATCGACCTATAGATTTATAACAGGCTACGAAAATTGGGTGATTGGCATTGAATCAAGTAAAATTATTCTGTCTTACAAAACTGATGATATTTTTCTGGTAGATATTCAGAGACTCACAATGAAATGTGATCCTGGAATATTTCTTTCTTCAACACTTTCCCCAAAAATGAAGTAATAAGGGAGATTTTGACTTGGAACGAATCTTAGTAACTTAGAGGTCTTATAATTGATCGTAGACTCTGAGGTGATATATTTTGATTAGGAATGAATAAAGCAAAGACCATAATTGCTAAAACCTTTCGGCTTTTAAGGAGTGAATTATATTGTGAAGTATGGTAAACTTATTCAGAAACAAAAATCGATTTACGGATTTCTAACGGGCTACAAAAAATGGGGAATGGAAATGAACCAAATAAAAATATTCTGTCATACAACAGTGATGATATTTTTATACCCTCAGCCATATGGCTAGAGATGAAAAAACTGCAACCAACTTCAGACTGCTGTCATTTCTAAACTACCCGTCCGACAGCTGTTAAAATTATTCCAGTGACAGCTTATTATATTATTTACAAGCGTACAAAAGCATTTTGGTGAGAATTTTCCAGAAAAAAAGTTCTCCGTGATGGAATTCAAGCGTGATAGTGTGATTTCTTTACATTTGGCTGGAAAACCACAAGTGGCTATGACTAGAGCACTCCAGCATTTAAATGTGAATAAATCTTTTGTGTCTCGTATCATCGCTCGTTACCGATTACGTGATACTGGTAGTGTAGCCCGACGTTAAGGAAGTGGACGGAAGAAAACAGCAACATCATCAGAAATGGTTCGAAAAGTAAAGAAGGGACTTCATCGAAACCCACGTAGCACTGGCCGAAATATGGCTCGTGAGCTGAACATATCGCAATATTCCATTCGGCAATTATTAAAAAATGAGCTCGGGGTAAAGCCATTGAAGTTCCAAAAAGTGCAAGAACTTATACCGCAACAGAAAGAAAATCGACTCAAAAGAGCCAAAGAGTTGCTTCGCTTGACCGAAAGTTATGAACTGGCGAATTTGTTTTTCTCCGTCTCCGATGAGAAAACATTCGTTGGCCAGCAGGTTGCAAACAAACAAAATGATCGTGTTTTAACTGCCAAAGAGGTGAACTGAAAATGTGCACCTTTCGGTTGGCCACCAGAACTCAAGCGCCGGCCATGTGGATGGTGTGGGTCGCCATAACAGCCAATGGTCGCTCTCCCCTCGTATTAATCAAACGGAATTAGAATAAATACCGAATATTATCGCGAAAATATTCTGGAGGGTGTATTAAAGCCTTGGGGCACGCAAACATTTTGGCCGCAGACCTTGGACATTTCAACAGGACTCAGCACCGCACCCACTCAGCACGCGCCACCCAAGATATGGTTACAAAATTAGGTTCCTCGCTTCATTTCCAGCACTCGACGACCACCAAAATCTCCGGATACCAATCCGTTGGGCTTTTGTGTCCGGAGTATTTTGGAAAGGAAGATTGGCACTAAAAAATACCAAAGTGTCGATCACCTCAAGCAGGCGCTTCACCGGGAATGGGCCAAAATACCCCAGAGCAACATTCGGGCAGCATGTGACAGTTTCATTGGCCGTTTGAAGACCATAATTCATGTCAAAGGTGACCAATTCGAACAAATCTAAACTTATACTAAAATTTGATGCTATTTCCGTTATTTTTTGCTTTTATTCAATGAAATTAAAAAAAATGTAAGAATTATGGCGTTTGACTTTGTTGCAGGTTTTTTTATCTCACCCCCGTATGTGCCTCACTTAAATGCAATAATAATTGGCTATAATCTTATGCTCACGAAATAGTTATTCAATGTCAAATAGGTACCCTTTTCATAAAATGCAAAACTATGCTCTTACTCTCTTTGAACCACAATTTGCTGCTACTCATCTGTTCTCTTTTTAGGTCTGCGTAGAAAAGTCACAACAAAAAATCTTAAAATCAACTACTTTTTCGTACTCTCTCTTTGGTTCTCTCTCTCTCTGGTTCTCATGATAGGCGTGCATTTTTTGATGAACCCTGTTCATAAAAATACGAACATTGGTAGTACTTCTTTTGAAAACTATTCATAAAATCCATGACCTCTTTGTCGGTTCAAATGACCTCAGAAATATTTATCCCCACAATTTTAATTTATTTTCCTGTGTTTCCTTTTTTCAACTTACCCTTTCTTTGGCCCTTCGCAAATCCTCCCAGCGATATGTTTGCAGCGGCACTGGCGGCCGATCCGTGGCGGTTTGTATGAGATACTTTTTCAACGACTGATAATATTCCTTTTTACAATCTAAGGCTAATTTTTCGGCATCACTTGTTGCTGCCGGATCTTGCAATGGTGGCAGGGATTCGATGAAAAGTTTACGTTCCTCCTCTTCGGAGGCGGTCTGGGGTGTGGGAACAGTTACTAATTTTAGATGAGGTTCCGAGGAGGGTGGTTTCAGACACGATGAGGTGGCGGTGGCAGCTGCGGCGGCGGCCTCCTTCGTTTGGGAATCTAAAATGCTGGTGACTTCGGAAAGTTGTTGATCAACGACCTGGGAAAGTTGAGACTCGCTGCGCAATTGGGCGCCGTCCAATTGATCTTCGTCTTCTTCTTCTTCGAAGGGATTCAGGGACGTAGAATTTTTAGTTTCCGTGGAAGCTGTTTCCGTTTTCTTTGCTGCCTCCACTACTTTAGTATTTTCAGTCTTTTCATTGGAATTTTCATCCTCCACTTTTTGTTGCGGTTCGTTAATTTTAAAATTATTCTCTGCAAAGGCCTTGACAACTTCCTCTTCGATATCTTGCAGTAGTTGCTGGGCAACTTCTTCTATGTCTGCCTTATTCACATGGACTCCCGAATCACCATTGAGATAGGGCGTTTCGTTCTCCTCAATTTGAGCAGCTTGCAGTAAGGCTTTGGTTTCCAAAATCTGTTCCACTGGCTGTTTGCTTACCACCTCGGCGGGTTCAACTTCTATGACTGAGCGTACATTGACATCCGTCTCGATTTTGGAACAGCCCACCTTCAACTCTTCCTCGGCTGGAGGTAATTCCTTAATACCCACACTTTCTTTGTGAACTGTGGCCTCGTTAAGGGTTTCAATTAAATGAGATTCAATGTCCAGAACATTATCCTCACTGGGACTGGGAGGTACTGAGGAAATGAAGATTTCCTCGGTTTCTTTTTCTTCTTGATCAAATTCCGATTCGTTGGCAGGGGTTTTTGAGTCTAGGGAATCCTCAGGCTTTTCCCCGTTGCTTGGAGTTGCTTTTTGCGGAGCTGAGGTGGTGGGAACTATAAGTTCTTCGGTTTCTTTTTCTTTTTGCTCTAACTTGCTTTGTTTCTCAGGAAGTTCTTTTTTAGTTTCAGATTTTTCTTCGTTTTGAGTTGGGATATGAGGAGTAGTATTAGAATTATGGGAAGTGGTTTCTTCTGCTTTCGTTACTTTGGCTTCAGGCTTTTCTCCGTTTGGAGTTGCTTTCTGATGGGCTGAAGTGGTGGGAACTATAACTTCCTCGATTTCCTTTTCTTTTTGCTCTAACTTGCTTTGCTTGTCAGAAATTTCCGATTCAATTGTTTCAGATTTTTCTTCGTTTTTAGATGGGATATGAGGAGTTGGGTTAGAATTATGGGATGTGGTTTCTTGTTTTTCTTCTGCTTTTGTTACTTTGGCGGTGGTGGGGGCGGTTTCTTTGATAATAATTGTCTTAGCTAAATTTTCTGTACTAGAACTACTGACTAGGCTCTTAACGCTAGAATTTGCATCGTCATTAACATTTTCGTCGTTGTGCGTTTCAAAAACGAAATCCTTGGAGGATTTTGGCGACACATTCACCGGGCATTCATTGGCGTCTTGCTTCCGCTCGAACGACGGCTTACTATTGACGTTGTTGTTGTTGGCTTCCTTTTTTTCTTCTGTGGCATTTATTGGACTAAGTACTTGAAGAATTGCGGGTTGATCGATTGAGATTTCATTGGATCCAGGTAATGACACTGAAATTGGGGAATAATAACAAAATAGGTTAGAAAAAGTTGTCGGCAATTCGAAAGAGAGGAATATGAAAATAATTTATTTAAAGCACGTTTTTGCTTTAATATTCCTTCATTTTATTTTCTAATTTTTTATAAATAATAGCAACAACAATAGCATTAAAACCATGCTTATATTTAAAATATAACAGTATGAAGTACATTATGATCACACATTACTCTCTGCCACTCTCCTAGTAATGTGAGCAATACCAAGTACTTGTGAGAGATAACTTACAAAGAGCACACATGAGAGACAAAACAATAACAATGTGCAATGCCACTACATAGAATTGCTGAGTAGGGGATATGACACAAATGTAGAGGAAATGAATGCCATGAGAGTAGAAACAGTGTTGCTACTGGGTGAAATTCGATAAATAATCGATAAATTACCTATTTCTTTTTAGCAACTCATAATGCTTTGAAATTATTTTTATTTTTAGAGTAATTTTGAAAGAACTGCAGACAAAGTATTTTTTTCCAAAAAAATACAATTTTATGGTTATGGAGAATAGTTTATGGTTATGGAGAATGGCTTTATGGTTATGGAGAATAGGTTATATGAAAACCTCAAACAATCTGGGACTTGTTTGGGCAGACGAAAATTGATAATATTCCTTTTTTACAAGCTAAGGCTAATTTTTCGGCATCACTTGTTGCTGCAGGATCTTGCAGTGGTGGCAGGGACTCGATGAAAAGTTTATGTGCCTCCTCTTCGGAGGCGGTCTGGGTTGTGGGTACAGTTACTAATTTTAGATGAGGTTCCGAGGAGGATGGTTTCAGACACGATGAGGTGGCGGTAGCTGCTGCATTGGCAGCCTCTTTCGTTTGAGAATCTAAAATGCCGGTGACTTCGGAAAGTTGTTGATCAACTACCTGGAAAAGTTGAGACACGCTGCAGCCGAAAATCAAAATGATGTGTATTTTTACGCCCTCCACCACAGTGTGGAGAATATATTGAGTTTGTCATTCCGTTTGTGACACCTCGAAATATACATTTTTAGACCCCACAAAGTATATACAGGGTGAGATAAAAAAAAAACTGCAACAAAGTCAAACGCCATAATTTTTTACATTTTTTTTTTAAATTTCATTGAATGAAAGCAAAAAAATATCGGAAATAGCATCAAATATTAGAATAAGTTTAGATTTGTTCGCATTGGTCACCTTTGGCACGAGTTATGGCTTTCAGACGGCCAATGCGACCGTCACACGCTGCCCGAATATTGCTCTGCGGTATTTTGGCCCATTCCCGGCGAAGCGCTTGCTTGAGCTGATCGACACTTTGGTATTTTTTTGTGCCAACCTTGCTTTCCAAAATACTCCAGACACACAAGTCCAATGGATTCGTATTTGGAGATTTTCCTGGCCATTGTGCGCTGGAAATGAAGCGAGAAACCTCATTTTGTAACCATTCTTGGGTGTCGCGTGCTGAGTGCGATGGTGCTGTGTCCTGTTGGAATGACCAAGGTCGGCGGCCAAAATGTTTGCGTGTCCAAGGCTTTGATACAGCCTCCAGAATAATTTCGCGATTATATTCGGCATTTATTCTGATGCCACGGTCGATTAATACGAGCGGAGAGCTACCATCGGCTTTTATGGCGGCCCACACCATAACCATGCCCGGCGCTTGAGTTCTGGTGGCCAACCGAAGGTGCACATTTTCAGCTGACCTCTTGTTTGTTTACAAAATGCTGGACACCGAATGTTTTCTCATCGGATATGGAGAAAACCAAATTCAGCAGTTCACCACTTTCGGCCATGCGACGCAACTCTACTGGACAACGAATGTTTTCCCAATCGGAGACGGAGAAAGCCAAATTCGGCATCAGTTCTCCACTTTCGGCCAAGCGAAGCAACTCTTTAGCTCTTTTGAGTCTATTTTCTTTCTGTTGCGGTGTAAGTTCTTGCACTTTTTGGAATTGTAATGGCTTTACCCCGACCTCATTTTTCAATATTTGGCGAATAGAATATTGCGATATTTTCAGCTCGTGAGCCTTTTTTTCTGCCACTGCGACGCGGGTTTCGATCAAGTCGCTTTGTTTACTTTTCGAACCATTTCTGCTGATGTTGCTGATTTCCTCCGTCCACTTCCTTGGCGTCGTGCTACGCTATAAGTACCAGTATCAGGGTAAGGAACGATGGTACGAGACACAAAAGATTTATTCACATTTAAATGTTGGCGAGCTCTAACGATAGCCACTTGTGGCTTTCCAGCCAAATATAAAGAAATCACACCATCACGCTTCAATTCCATCACGAATAACTTATTTTCGGGAAATTTCTCAACAAAATGCTTTTGTACGCTTGTAAACAATATAATGAGCTGTCACTGGAATAATTTTAACAGCTGTCGGACGAGTGACTTAGAAATAACAGCAGTCTGAAATTGGTTGCTGATTTTTAATCTCATCCTGTACATTTTAATATTTAGCTGGATGAACGAATATTCAAATTAGGAATAGAAAAGCAAAGGTCAATTTTTTGACTTTTTCCTGAAAATATTTGAAAACCCTCCTTTTTACACAAATTTGTTGAAATTATCGGAATTTTCTTCACAAAGCAGATCCTGAAGAAAATATTCCTTTCAAAAACAAATTGAAATAAGAGCCTGAAAATATGTGGGAGGGGAGGGGATGAACTAAGGAAAGGATAGTGCATGATTTTTATAAAGATAATCGACCTCCTCCCTCCCTATTTTCAGCTTCTTATTTCATTTTTTTTTGTTTTTGAAAGGAATATTTTCTTCAGGATACGTAGGACCTTTGGCAGAACACCTGAGATCATTATGCCTCAAAAAGGCAATTATCTCGGCAATCTTAGATTCCAAGTGAAATGTTTCCCATTTGAATTAGAACGCTTTTTACATTTCTCTTCCTCTTAAAAATGAATTGTTTCAAATGTCTGGTCATTTGGCAGGAACTTAATTGATTTTCTGTTTTTTTTTTTGTTTTTGTAGTTTTTATTTCTTTTGGCAATGCGTTCATAGTTTATGATAGCTGCAATGATCGGTATTAAGAAAACGTTAAAACAAAACATCCATTATCCAATGAAGAGGGCCTAGTATATGTTTTGTATATTCTATTCTGTTTACCCAGAATAGACTTACACGTCAGCACAGGTGCAGATGTAAGTGGGCATTACAGTGCCTCAAAAAAAAAAAAAATAAATAAATAAATAAATAAAAAATGTGAGAGAAATATTAATACCCTACACCACATAGGGGTAAGGGTATTATGTCTTTGTGCATTTGTTTGTAACATGGAGAAGGAAGCGAGATAGACCCATTATTACTTCTGAGTATCTTCATAAAATCACTTTCTAAGTCGATTTATGCATGTCAGTCAGTCCGTTTATCAATTTTTTTTTTTGGTAAAAAAAGAATTCAGGTCGTATTTATCATCCGATTGAAATGGAATTTTCCAAACCATAATTGTTTGGCCCAAAGGCGAACCCTATTGAAATTGTTGAGAATCGGTTGAAATTTAGAAATATTGCTTCCATATATATATCTTCAACCAATTTCGGATTAATTGTGTACCAAACGACAATATCAGAAGAGTATATATACAGGGTGAGATGAAAAAACTGCAACCAACTTCAGACTGCTGTCATTTCTAAGCCACTCGTCCGACAGCTGTTAAAATTATTCCAGTGACAGCTCATTATATTGTTTACAAGCGTACAAAAGCATTTTGGTGAGAATTTTCCAGAAAAAAAGCGTAATTCGTGATGGGATTCAAGGGTGATAGTGTGATTTCTTTATATTTGGCTGGAAAACCACAAGTGACCATCGTTAGAGCACTCCAGCATTTAAATGCGAATAAATCTTTTGTGTCTCGTACCTCGCTCGTTATCGATTACGTGATACTGGTAGCATAGCCCGACGTCAAGGAAGTGGACGGAAGAAAACAGTAACATCAGCAGAAATGGCTCGAAAAGTAAACAAAACGACCTGATTGAAACCCGCGTCACAGTGACCGAAAAATGGCTCTTGAGCTGAACATATCACAATATTCCATTCGGCAAACATTGAAAAATGAGCTCATCGGGGTAAAGCCATTGAAATTCCAAAAAGTGCAAGAACTTATACCGCAGCCGAAAAAAATAGACGCAAAAGAGCTAAAGAGTAGTTGCTTCGCTTGGCCGATAGTGGTGAACTGCCGAATTTGGTTTTCTCCGTCTCCGATTGGGAAAATATTCGTTGTCCAGCAGTTTGATCGAGTTTACTTGCCAAAGAGGTCAGCTGAAAATGTGCACCTTCGGTTGGCCATTAGAACTCAAGCGCCACGCCGCGCCGACCATGGTGATGGTATTGGCCGCCATAACAGCCGTTGGTCGGTCTCCGCTTGTATTAATCGACCATGGCATTGGAATAAATGCTGAATATTAACGCGAAAATATTCTGGAGGGTGTATTAAAGCCTTGGACACGCAAACAGTTTGGCCGCAGATCTTGGACATTCCACCATCGCACTCAGCAAGCGCCACCCAAGAAAGGTTACAAAATGAGGTTCCTTGCTGCATTTTCAGCGCACAATGTACACCAGAATCTCCGGATACCAATCCGTTAAATTATTGTGTCTGGAGTATTTTGGAGAGCAGGGTTGGCACAAAAAAATACTAAAATGTCGATCATCTCAAGCAAGCGCTTCGCCGAAAATGGGCCAAAATACCGCAGAGCAACATTTGGGCAGCGTGTGACGGTTTCATTGGCCGTTTGAAGGCCATAATTCGTCCCAAAGGTGACCAATTCGAACAAATCTAAACTTATTCTGAAATTTGATGGTATTTCCGACATGGCCAATGTGAGCCCAAATTAACTGAATTTTGGCAGTTCCTACTGAAATCATCCTAGAAACAAGTACATCAAGTTTGGTGAAAATCGGTTCAGATATAGGTATAGCTCCTTTAGAGGTTCCATCCGATTTGGTGTTTAAGTCCCTCAAATTCGTAATATGC